CGGCTTTTTTTTCTTTTTGCTTATGTGGTGCTGAGGAATTGAACCCAGGGCCTCAGGCATGCAAGGCAAGCGCTCTACCACTGAGCCAACTTCCCAGCCCAACTTCTGGATTTTTTTGATAGTTAATTGGAGTTGAGTTAATTGGAGTTAAGAGCCTCACAGACTTTACTGCTTGGGCTGATTTTGAACTATGATACTCAGATCTCAGCTGCCCGAGTAGCTAGGATTATAGGAATGAGCTACACTTAGCTAGGGTAATAGTTCTTGAATGCTTTCTGTGTTAAAAGATCAACAGCTCTTTCTGCTCCCCAACATATCCTGATTGTCCAAATACATAGTAATACAGTATTTAAAACACTGTGCTGTTAGGGACTGGTGGCTCTTGCCTGTAATCTTAGCTACTCAGAAAGTTCAACACTTGAGGATGTGCTTTGAAGCCAGTTTGGGCAGGAAGATTTGTGAAACTCTGTTTTTGGTTGTGGGGCTTGAACACTGGGCCTGGGCACTGTCCCTTAGCTCTTCAGCTCAAGAAGGGCGCTCTACCACTTGAGCCACAGCTCCACTTTCAGTTTTCTGGTGGTTAATTGGAGATAAGAGTCTCAGACTTTCTTGCCCTGGCTGATTTCAAACCATAATCCTCAGAACTCAGCCTCCTGAGTAGCTAGGATTATAGGTGTGAGCCACTGGCACTGGCACAAATTAACCAACAGAAAGCTAGAAGTGGATATATGGCTCATGTAATAGAGTGCCAGTCTTGAGTGAAAAAGCCAAGGGATAGTGCCCAGCCTGGCACAAAAAAAGAAACAAAACATGAGCTAGCTCCCTGCCTGTGCAGTGAGCTCCTCACTGGGATGGGTGGCACTGAACATCTGCAGGTGCCAGCTGCCTGCTGTTGGCTGCCCAGCCTGGGGAGTGGGGAGGGTGTGGGCAGTGGGCAGTGGTGGCCAGGAGACTGAACCTAGATGCATTGCAGGTGGAATCCAAGGCCACGGTGGGCCTGGGTGGGGTGATGGTGGTGATAGCAGCCGTCGTAGCTGCCATGGGCTTCTTCTCCTATGTGGGAGTACCTTCTTCCCTGATCATCGTGCAAGTGGTGCCTTTCCTGGTGCTGGCTGTGGGCGCTGACAACATCTTCATTTTTGTCCTCCAGTACCAGGTAAGAAAGTTTAAAAAATTTTTTTATTGTTACTGTAAAGGTGATGTACAGAAGGGTTATAGTTACATAAGTCAGGTAGAGTATATTTTTCTTAGGACAATGTCACCTCTTCCCTTACTCTCTCCCAGCCCCCTCCCCAAGTTGTATAGATCAGTTTCAACATAGTCTCTAGTGAGTACCACTGCCGAGCTGCGTTTGTTCACCTTTTGTCCCTCCATTTCTGTGCCCCCTTACTCTCCCAAAGACAATTAAATGACCAAGAAAGACAAAAAGAAAAGAAAACAAAAACAACAATAAAGAAAAAAAAGTCTTGTTTCCATTTCCTGGAGTTCATGTCAATGAATATTTTAAACCATCAGAGGCACACAGGCATTGCACCTTTGTGTTCCTGCCCTAAGAAAGAGAAGTTATCAGCCCGGCGCTGGTGGCTCACACCGGTAATCCTAGTTACTCAAGAGGCTGAGATCTGAGGATCACAGTTCAAAGCCAGCCCGGGCAGGAAAGTCTGAGAGACTCTTATCTCCAATAAAGCATTAGGAAATGGGAAGTGGCCCTGTGGCTGAAGAGATAGAGTGCTCACCTTGAGCTGAAGAGCACAAGGACAGTGTCCAAGCCCAGAGTTCAAGCCCCAAGACCGACCAAAAAAAAAATAAAAAAGAAGTTATCTACCCTAACCTCCATCTGTCCATCTGTAACTTCAATAATCCTCTCCAGACAGAGCCCCACATCCAAGCGCTTGCCTAGCAAGCGCAACGTCCTGGGTTCGATCCCCAGTACCAAAAAAGAAAAGACAAAAAAATACAGTTAAAAAAAAAAACCCAAACAGAGCCCCACATCCATTTGTTGGGCATTTTTTCTCTGTCTTTTTTTTTTTTTTTAACCAGTTGTGGGCTTGAACTCTGGGCCTGGGCATAGTCCCTGGGCTCCTTTTGCTCAAAGCTAGGGCTCTACCACTTGAGCCACAGCACCACTTCTGGCTTTTTTTGTGATTGATTGGAGATAAGAGTCTCTCAGACTTTCTTGCCTGGGCTGGCTTCAAATTGAGGTCCTCAGATCTGAGCCTCCTGATAGCCACCTGTATCTGGCTTTTCTTTTTTAAATTTTAAGTAGTTGTTCAAAGGGATTTTGATTCATCCAGTCAGATTATGAGTTTAATGTCTTTTGATCAATGTTATTTCTTCTGTTGTTCTCCCCTATCTTTCTCAATCCCACCCATACCCTCAATTTATGTAGTTCAAAGTATTGTTGTTGTTGTTGTTTTGGTTAGTTATGGGGCTTGAACTAAGGGCCTGGGCACTGTCCCTAAGCTTTTTCACTCAAGGTTAGCACTCTACCACTTTGAGCCACAGTGCCACTTCTGTTTCTGGTGGCTAACTGGAGTTAAGAATCTCATGGACTTTCCTGCCTGGGCTAGCTTGGAACTGCAAACCTCAGATCTCAGCTTCCTGAGTAGCTAGGATTATAGGCATGAGCCCCCAGCACCCAGCTTAGTTCAAAGTTTTATATAATGTACATTAAATATAATGACTGCACTTGCTCACCCTTCCTCCCTCCATTTGTCTGTCCCCTCTTTTGCTCCTCCTCCCCCAACAAAACATGTTTTTCTGGGTATTCTTGAAGAGTCATTTGTACATGGGCACTCAGAGCCATTCTGGTAGAAAATAGCATGTGTTGACATAAATGCATTCATCTTGCCTATATCAGGATGCAGAGAGGAAGTTCATGGGCAGAGGCAGATGCTGGGGGATGCTTTCTGTGTTGGCGCATTTGAACCACCTCCTGTCTTTACACTATGGTGTGGTGTCTCATGGCAAGCACAAATCAGAGTCCATTTAGGTATGCTGGGAACAAGCATACAATCAACCTCCTGAATGAACCAGGCGCTTCTGCTCAGAAGTAAAAAGTGAGCTTGTGAGTGTTAGTAGAGTCAGTTTCTGTCTCTAGAAGGTCAAGCATTTTCTCAGGGTTGGCCACAACTCTGAGCACTTGCCAACATTTCTGGTCTTCAGGGGATAATGCCCATGGCACACCACTTGTATCCTCTACTTCTTGTTCCCTCACAGAGGCTGCCGCGAAAGCCTGGGGAGCAGCGAGAGGCCCACATTGGCCGAGCCCTGGGCAGTGTGGCCCCCAGTATGCTGCTATGCAGCCTCTCCGAGGCCATCTGCTTCTTCCTGGGTAAGCCCTACCCCACTCAGATGCTGCCTTGCTGGATTAGTCCAAGGGAAATCAGAAATTCTCAGAGGACAGTGGAGACTGGCAGACTCCATTTCCCCCTTCTCTCTGCACGTGGTCTGTATAGGTGTTCACCCTGCCCATGATGCCAGGGTGCCCTGACAGCTGTCTCCCCCCATAGGAGCTCTGACTCCCATGCCAGCTGTGCGGACCTTTGCCCTGACCTCCGGCCTGGCCATCATTTTTGACTTCCTTCTGCAGATGACTGCCTTTGTGGCTCTGTTCTCCCTGGACAGCAAGAGGCAGGAGGTGGGAACAAGTGGACTATGACCAAGGGACTTGCTCTGTCTGGGTCCTGACCTCGGCTGGGATATAGATTGGGCCTCACGGTTACAGATATGACTCAGAGATGGGGGTGGGAGATGGGGTATTGTACTGGGAGGGAATATTTGGGGCCATGTAATCCTCCATTTCCCAAGGAAAGATAACTTTTGATCATTTTTGGAAATAAGGTCAAACCTTCTAAAGCACACAGGTTGCAAAAGAAAATAGAAATGAGGTTTATTGACTTGTTGGTTTATGCCAGTACTTGAACTCAGGTCCTGGATGCTGTCCCTTAGCTTTTTTGCTCAAAGCTGGCACTCTATCACTTGAGCCACATCTATAGATAAGCACCTCACAGACTTTCTTGCCTAGGCTGGCTATGAACTGCGATCCTCAGATCTCAGCCTCCTGAGTATCTAGGATTATAGCTGTGAGCCACCGACTCCAGCTAGAAATAAGGTGTTGACAGAAGTTGAATTGGTGGCTCTGTGATGATATAAAATTCAGATAATAAATTAGGGTAGAACATAAAAACAGAGAGAGCAGCACACTGGGTATCCCCAAAATGCAGTGAGGGTGACACCTTCCTCTCTATAAGTGGCAGTCTCCAGAACAGTGATTCTGAGGCACCATCTCCCCTGGCCACCAGGCATCCCGTTCTGACTGCTGTTGCTGCCTTGCATCTCGGCGTCTGCCTCCATCTGAGCAAAAGAGTGAGGGGTTCCTGCTTCGCTTCTTCCGCAAGAAATATGCTCCCTTCCTGCTGCATCGGTTCACCCGCCCTGTCGTGGTGAGTGGGATTAGGGGTCACCCTCAGGTGACCATAGGGCAGGGGAACTAGGAGAGAGCGGGGTGGAAGATGGATGGATTGCCTAGGCCCAGGTGTTGATAAGCAGGGCTGGAACTTGAAATCTTCCACCTCCAGGAAATTTTCCATGATCCTCCAGTGGGTGCAAATTGGGGGGAAATGGAGGCTCTTGATGGAAAAGTTCTCATGCACTGCTTTCCTCTTCAGATGGTGCTGTTTCTGGCCTTGTTTGGAGCAAGTCTCTACTTCATGTGTCACATAAGTGTGGGGTTAGACCAGGAGCTGGCCCTGCCCAAGGTGAGCCTGGTGTCTTTCTGCCATTGGTTCTCTTAGATTTGGGAAGGGCGGCCACACTCAGCAAGTGCTCAGCAATTGTGCAGAGTTAGCACCTCAGAAAACCCAGCAGACTAAGGTAGAGAAATCTCATCTGTATCTGAAAGTGCCAGAGCTGATAGCCAGCTTCAGGCCACAGTAGAAGGGATGGCCTGTGTCTGGAGAGCTGGCTACATGATGGCTGGCCATGCTGGCCATGCTGGCAACAGTTTAGTTGCCAGCTCAATATGTGAAATCCTCACCAACACTTGTGATTTTCTTTTTTTTTCTTTTTTTTTGTTGGTTGTGGGGCTGGGCACTGTCCCTGAGCTCTTCAGCTTAAGGCAAGCACTCTAACACTTGAGCCACAGTGTCACTTCTGGTTTTCTGGTGGTTAATTGAAGACTTTCCTTCCCAGGCTGGCTTTGAACCTGGAACCTCAGATCTCAGCCTCCTGAGTAGCTAGGATTACAGGTGTGAGTCACTGGCACCGGGTTGTGATTTTCTTTCTCTTTTTTCTTCTTCCTTCCCATCCTCCTTTTCCCTCCTCTTCTTTCTCATTATCCTAGTGGGAATGAAATAGAATCTGTCTCATTGGGTTTTTATAATGGTTGTTGCTTTTTTTTTGGAGTTAGGGTCACTATGTTGCCCAAGTTGGCCCAGAGCTCATGATCTTCCTGCCTCAGCCTCTCCAGTGCTGGGATTAAAGGTGTGCCTGGCTTTGCTGTGGTTTTGATTTGATTTCCCCTAATAATTCATAACGTTGAGTATCTTTTCATGTGCTTTTGGCTATTTGTCTATCTTCTTTGAAAAACAAATGTATTTAAATTCTTTGCCCACTTTTGAATGAGGTCATTTTGTTTTTGTTGTTGAGTTTTAAGAATTCTCCAAATATTAGGGGAAAAACAAAGGAGGAGGTAGCAACGCTCCATAGGAAATGTACCCATTGCCTTACTCATGTAACTGTAACCCCTCTGTTCAGTATTTTTACAATAAAATATATACAAAAAAAGAATTATCCAAATATTCTGGAAATCAATTGCTTGTCAGATACATGACAGAAAAACATTTTCTTTTTCTTTTCTTTTTTTTTTTTTGGAGGGTCCAGTCGTGGGGCCTGAACTCTGGGCCTGGGTGCTGTCCCTCAGCTCTTCAGCTCAAGGCTAGCACTCTACCACTTGAGCCACCTTCCCAGCCCCAGAAAAACATTTTCTCTCTTTTGTGGTTTGCTTTTCTATTCTCATGTGTTCTCATGTTCTTTCATGTGTACAATTTAAGAATATTTATAAAGTCCTGTTCATTTCTTTTGTTATCTGTGTCATATCCAAGAAAGAATTGTCAAATTCAGTGCCATGAAGTGTTCTCATTTCTCCTAAGAGTTTCTATTTTCAAATTTAAATGTTATATTTATTTATTTGTTTGTTTGTTTATTTTTGGGTCCGGTCGTGGGACCTTGAACTCTGGGCCTGGGTGCTGTCCCTCAGCTCTTCAGCTCAAGGCTAGCACTCTACCACTTGAGCCACAGCGCCACTTCTGGCTTTTTCCTTTTTGCTTATGTGGTGCTGAGGAATCTAACCCAGGGCCTCATGCATGCAAGGCAAGTGCTCTACTACTGAGCCACCTTCCCAGCCCCCTAAATGTTATATTTATAACTCATAATTTTAAAAGAACAGTCATATCTTATTTGAAGTTAGGCTTGAAGATCTGGAGAATAAAATATATACAAAAGATTAACCTTAAACAACTCTGCAAAGAATTTTAATATATAGTATAATATACAGACATAGAATTAAAGACATATTATATAGATATATTATCTCTGTATAAGCTCAACACAGCCAATTGTGTTCATCAGTGTTAGCTCAAATCCTTGCATCTCTGTTCAAGTGCTAGATTAAATTCTTCCATTGCAAATAGAAATGATGTCAAATAATAACAATAAAAATATTTATTTTTAGCCTGAGCACGAGTGGCTCATGCCTATAATCTAGCTAGTCAGAAGGCTAAGATCTGAGGATCACAGTTGAAAGCCAGCTTTCTCCTAAGAGTTTTATAGATTTTTATAAATCTTACATTTAGTTCTTTGATTTGTCTTGAGTTAACTTTTGCATATGGTGCTAGGTAAGGATCCCAACTTAATTCCTTTGCTTGTGGACATCCAAGTTTCCCAGCATCATTTATTACAAATCTGTTTTCTCTGTTGACTGGGCTAAAAAATGCCCTTGTCAAAATCCTTTGACTGTATGTGTGAAGATTGATTCCTGGACTTTTTATTCTGTTTCATTGATCTATATGTCTATCTTTATTCAACCATTTACACTTCTTGTGTAGCTGGGAAAACAGGCACACAACACCATGCCCAGTTTTATTGGTTGAGATGGAGTCTTATGAATTTTTTTTTTGCGTGGCCTTGAACCATCTTGATGTCTGTCTCTGGAGTAGCTGAGAGTGCAGGTGTAAGCTTCTGTGCCTGTCTCCCTTTCTTTTTTCTTTTCTTTTTCTCAGTTGTGGGGCTTGAACTCTGGGCCTGGGCACTATCCCTCAGTTCTTCAGCTCAAGGCAAGCATGCTACAACTTGAGCCACAGTGCCACTTCCAATTTTCTAGTGGTTTATTGGAGATAAGAGTTTCACGGACAAAAAAAAACAGCCGGGCGCTGGTGGCTCACGCCCGTAATCCTAGCTACTCAGGAGGCTGAGATCTGAGGATCACAGTTCAAAGCCAGCCCGGGCAGGAGAGACTGTGAGACTCCTATCTCCAACAAACCACCAGAAAACCGGAAGTGGCACTGTAGCTCAAGTGGTAGAGCGCTCGCCTTGAGCTGAAGAGCTGAGGGACAGCGCCCAGGCCCAGAGTTCAAGCCCCATGGCCGACCAAAAAAAAAAGAGTCTCATGGACTTTCCTGCCTGGGCTGGCTTTGAACCATGATCCTGAATAACTAGGATTACAGGCGTAAGCCACATTCCCAACCTCTTGCTTAGTTTTGTTTTTTTCTCAAGGGTGCTCTACCACTTGTATAATACCTCTACTTCTGGCTTTTTCCTGGTTAATTGGAGATAGAGTTTTGAAGATTTGTCTATGTGGGCTGACTTTGAATTGTGATCCTCAGATCTGTCTCCTGAGTTGTTTAGGATTATGGTGTAAAGCCACTGGTGCCAGTTTGTCTGTTTGCCTTGCATGCATGAGGCCCTGGGTTTGATTCCTCAGTACCACATAAGCAGAAAAAAGCTCAAGTGGTAAAGTGTTCACCTTGAGCTGAAGAGCTGAGGGACAGCACCCAGACCCAGAGTTCAAGCCCCACAACCACCACCACCACCAACAAAAATCCAAGGGCAGGGGGCTGGAAATGTGGCTTGGTGGTAGAGCACTTGCCTAGCATGCATGAAGCCCTGGGTTCCATTCCTCAGTACCACATAAACAGAAACAGCTGGAAGTGGCACTATAGCTCAAGTGGTAGAGTGCTAACCTTGAGCTAAAAAGATGAGGGACAGTGCTCAGGCCCTGAGTTTAAGCCCCAGGACTGGAAAAAAAAATCCAAGGACACAAGGTGTAGCTCAGTAGTAGAGTATTGCCTTGTAAGTACAGGGCCCTAGGTTCAATCCACAGTGTGCACACACACAAACATAAAAAGAGACAGACAAGCATATGTCTTTTTTCTTTTGTCTGACACTGGCACTCAAACTCTGTATCTGACGATCTTGCTCACTGGCTGGTGCTCTACCACCTAAGCCATGCCTCCAGCCTCTCTGAGCATTTACTTCTGTTTATGTCCATGTGTTCCTTGGCAAGTCCCTCTGCACATACTTCTAAGCGCGTGCGTCAGGGTCTACATCAGACTGTGAGCTGGAGGGGTCCTTTGAGGTGTGCATGTGTGCCTGACACTCCCTGATCCTCCTCCCTCCAGGACTCCTACCTGCTTGACTACTTCCTTGCTTTGAACCGTTACTTTGAAGTGGGGCCTCCAGTGTACTTCGTCACCACATCAGGATACAACTTCTCCAGTGAGGCAGGCATGAATGCCATCTGCTCCAGTGCTGGCTGCAACAACTTTTCCTTAACCCAGAAGATCCAGTATGCCAGCGAATTCCCAGATCAGTAAGTGCTGGCTATGCCCAGCCCCTGCTCATTGCTTGTCCTCCTGCCCAGATCCCTGGGGAGGCCCCGGGTGGAGGTCAAATCATGGGAAGGACCCATCTCTCCACTTGCTCACTGTCCTGTTCTTTACTCCTCCCTCCTTGGCCTCAGGTCTTACCTGGCTGTCCCTGTGTCCTCCTGGTTGGATGACTTCATCGACTGGCTGGCCCCATCCTCCTGCTGCCGCCTTTATCTCTCTGGCCCCAATAAGGATGAATTCTGCCCCTCAACTGATAGTGAGTGTGGGGCTTCAGGGGACTCATTGTCCATTATAGCTTGGGGAAACTGAGGCAAGAGAAAGGAAAGGACTTGTTGGGCTCTCTCAACCACTTCCCTTCCCACAGGGTCCATGTGGGTAGGGGTACAGGCTCAGCCTCAGGGCAAAAGAGGCCCCATCTAGGTGATCTTCGGCCCTGGAGTCTTCTGCCCTGAGTATGCTCTCAGGACACATTAGCGTGGGGAGAAGGTGGCGGAGTTACGAGTGGCCATGAGTTGTTTGTAGGTGATGGGAGAGCTTGTGTTTCTTGTATCTAGGCACCTGTGCCATAGGTGAAGGGCTTTATATAACTAAGAGGGGACTATCTCCCAAAGTTAAAGATGACACATGAAGCTGGTTACTGGTGGCTCACACTTTCAATCCTAGTTACTCAGAAGGCTGATAACTGAGGATTAATGTCCAAAGCTGTAAGATTCTTAGCTCCAATTAACTAGCTGAAAGCTGGAAGTGGAGCTGTGGCTCAAGTAGTAGAGTACCAGCCTTGAGCCAAATAGTCAAGCAAGAGCAAGAGGCCCTGAGTTCAAGCCCCAGTGCTACACACAGCTTTGACCAATTCAGATCCATTAGAAGCCTTAGATGGGAGCAGACAGGTGAAGGTCAGAGTAGGGCCCTCCCTGCCTGGGGTGCCATTTCCCAGAGACCACCTCTCTCCACAGACTCTTGGAACTGCATAAAGAATTGCATGAGCTTCACGCTGGGTCCTATACGGCCCACGGTGGAGCAGTTCCACAAATATCTTCCTTGGTTCCTGAGTGACCCACCGAACATCAAATGTCCCAAGGGGTAGGTTCATTGGGGAGGGTGAACCTGTGGATCCTGGAGGTGGTGGATAGAGGGGCAGAAGTGGTCCAGGAGGTGCTGTGGGGGGATAGATGGGTGGAGGACTTGCCCTCATGAAGCCTCAACTCTGTCCTCCTACCTACAGCGGCCTGGCAGCGTACAGTACCTCTGTGAATTTGGGCCCAGATGGCCAGGTTCTAGGTAAGCATAGCCTAACTTGGGGAGGGAGAAATGGTTCAAGTTGGCTGCTTCAGAGGTCCCATAAAACCCTAAGAAATAGCCTTGTGTGTGTGTGTGTGTGTGTGTGTGTGTGTGTATGCACACGTGTGTGCACATGCATGCAAGTGCACCCTTGCTAGTCATGGAGTTTGAACTCAGAATCTGGGCATTGTCTTTGAGGTTTTTTGTTTGTTTGTTTGTTTGTTTTTGGTCAGTTGTGGGGCTTGAACTCTGGGCTTGGGCGCTATCCTTGTGCTCTTCAGCTCAAGGTGAGTGCTCTACCTCTTGAGCTACAGTGCCACTTCCAGTTTTCTAGTGGTTTATTGGAGATCAGAGTCTCATGGACTTTTCTGCCCGGGCTGGCTTTGAACCACGATCCTCAGATCTCAGCCTCCTGAGTAGCTAGGATTACAGGCACGAGCCACCGGTGCCCAGCTATCTTTGAGTTTTTTTCCTCTCAAGGCTAGCTAGTGCTCTACCACTTGAGCCACAGTTCCACTTCTGGCTTATTGGTGGTTAGTTGGAGATCAGAGTCTCATGGACTTTCTTGCCTAGGCTGGCTTTGAACCATGATCCTTGGATCTCAGACTCCTGAGTAGCTAGGATTACAGGTGTAAGCTACGATCACCAGACAGGAACAACATTTTTAACCTTGTATCTTCTCTCTTCCCTCCCTTTGTAAAGGGAGCTTCTAACTCTTCAGGCACTGTTGGCAGGGGTCCACTTCCCAACTTCATATTCCTCCTCTTGTCCCAAACCCAAGGTCTGTGTGACATGTCTGACATTCTTTCAGTTGATGTCATACTCAGGAGTCACTTGATCCCCGCCTTTCCTCCCCCACTGGCTAAACCCCTTTTTTAGCATGCATAAGTCATACCCCAGATGTCAGTGAGTGCAGGCATTTGTCAATAGTAACAAGATAAGGTGCATTTAGACTAATGGGGAAAAGGCCCCACAGTGGGCTGACACTGAATACAGCAGGTGGCAGAACTAGATGGTATCTGCCAGAGGGAGCTAGCCATAGTTCACCCTGACTACAACATTCAGGGTGGTGGCCCTGGAGCAGAGATGGGCCTGAGCAGGGAAACTTTTTTTTTTTTTTTTGGTTGTGGGGCTTGAACTCTGGGCTTGGGTGCTGTCCCTGTGCTCTTCAGCTCAAGACTAGTGCTCTACCGCTTGAGCCACAGCATCACTTCCGGTTTTCTAGTAGTTTTATTGGAGATAAGAGTCTCACGGACTTTTCTGCCCAGGCTGGCTTTGAACCATGATCTTCAGATCTCAGCTTCCTCAGTAGCTAGGATTACAGGCGTGAGCCACTAGTGCCTGGCTAGGGAAACTTTTAACAGATGTTTTCATTTTACATTGCAACAATTCATTCTTTTTTTTTTGCCTGTCCTGGAGCTTGAACTCAGTGCCTGGGTACTGTCCGAGTTTCTTTTGCTCAAGGCTAGCACTCTGACACTTGAGCCACTGCATCACTTCTGGCTTTTTCTGTTTATGTGGTGGCACTGAGGAACTGAACCCATGGCTTCATGCATGCTAGGCAAACACTCTACCACTAAGCCACATTCCCAGCCCAATTCATGGTTTTAATTACTGTCAACATACAACTGCAGCACACTAGCTGTGCCTTCCTAGCTAACTCTTCCACGGAGTCCCTACCTTCCTGGAAGAGCAGCCCATGTTGCTCTAGCCCTGATCCCCAGACAGAGCCAGTATAGACAGAATGGGTGGGGGTGTTTCAGTTAGGGACAGAGGAATGGGTCCTGCCATGGAGAAAGCAGACATGGAACCTGGCTTCCACTCCATAGTCTGGGGCAGTTCTGTGCCCATTTTTAGCCTTGGTTTCTTCCAGTATGTAGTATATTAGTCTACAGCAGCGTTGCTCAGAGTGAGAGTTTTTGTCGAGCAGCATCAGCATCATTTGGAAATTACTGAGAAGGCAAATTCCTAGGCTTCATGTGACCCCTGACGAACTCAAATCTCTGGACTGGGTAAATATCAGGTTATGAACTATCTATAGGTGGTTCAGAAGCCTGGTAGGAGGCTCTGTAGGCACCTACCTTCCCATTTTAAGGTTGTGTGTGTCCAACATCATTCTCTTCTGCCTTTCTTTTTCCTTTTTTTTTGGGGGGGGGTCCGGTCGTGGGGCCTGGGTGCTGTCCCTCAGCTCTTCAGCTCAAGGCTAGTGCTCTACCACTTGAGACTTGAGCCACAGTGCCACTTCTGACTTTTTTCTTTTTGCTTATGTGGTGCTGAGGAATCGAACCCAGGGCCTCAGGCATGCAAGGCAAATGCTCTACCACTGAGCCACCTTCCCAGCCCTGCCTTTGGTTTTTCTATGTGTGCATAGCTGTCTGCTTTCTTTTCCTGATACATGCCCTCTGTAGGCAATAATAACCTTAATTGTACTGCGACTGGGAGTCCTAAGTTACAATTCAACTGTTTTCATTTTTGTCTTCCTTTCTAATTTTTTCTTATAATTTGCAAGTTATTAAGTTACTTTTCAATTATCCGATGTTAGTCATGCCTGTAATCCTCCTCAATAGGCAGAGATTTGAGGATCCTTATTTGAAGCCAGTCTGGACAGAAAAAATCTGAGAGAATCTTGTCTCCAATTAACCAGCAAAAAGCTAGAAGTGGAGGTGTGGCCCAGGTGGTAGAGCTGGCCTTGAGCAAAAAGCTAAGTGAGAGAGAGTGCAAGCTCCTGAGTACAAGCCCCAGTGCCTGCACACACACGCACACACATCCAGTGCATGTTTTGAAACCATATAGAAGGATTTGTGCTGGAGTTTGGGGGATGGTACAAACAAAAATGCAAGCCTCTTGCACGAAGTTTACTAGCAATCTCAAATGATGGTGGCAGAGACCTGAACCCAGCCTGGTCAAATGTCCATGTTACTGTCCCTGGAGTGCTTGGAGGATGTCCTGACATCCAATATGTTCTCTCCCATGTGTCATGACCATCTAGCCTCCAGGTTCATGGGATACCACAAACCACTGAAGAATTCTCAGGATTTCACAGAAGCTCTTCGGGCAGCTCGACTGCTGGCAGAAAACATTACAGCTGACTTGCGGAAGGTGCCAGGAACAGACCCAGACTTTGAGGTCTTCCCCTACACGTGAGGACCTAGAGGGCTGGGCCAGAGAGGGTGTGGGGGAGGTAATTGCTAGATGTGGGAAGTCAGGGCAGTTGGCTTCTGAGGGATGGTGAGGGACAAGGACCAGGTTGGGGGCAAGTAGCTTAGAGCCTGTGCTTTTCTCACACTGGCCAGAACCCTAACTTAAGACTCTGAACCTTAGGTTCCTCTCTACCTTCCTCCTTTCTCCTCTTCCTCCTCCTCCTCTTCTTCCTCCTCTTCCTTTACCTCCTTATCTTTTTCTTCTTTCTTCTCATCTTCCTCTTTCTTCTACTCCTCCTCTTCCCCTTCTTCTTCTTCTTCTTTTTTTTTGTTCTGGTACTGGACACTGAACTCAGGGCCTGGGCATTGTCCCATAGCTTTTTTGCTCAAGGCTGGCATGCTACCATTTGAGCCACAGCTCCACTTTGAGCTTTTTCATAGTTAATCAAAAATAAGAGTCTCACAGACTTCCTTGCCCAGACTGTCTTTGAAGCTCAATCCTCAGATCTTTGCCTCCTGAGTAGCTAGAATTACAGGCATGAGCCACTAGCTCCAAGCAATGTTGTCCTTCTGAAATGGGGTTTCCTGCCCATCAGAGGGGCTCATGAGGCCTATTCTGTGACCACATCTGCTCTTTGGCAGGATTTCCAATGTATTCTACCAGCAATACCTGACAGTTCTCCCTGAGGGCATCTTCACGCTTGCCCTCTGTTTCATCCCGACCTTCATAGTCTGCTACCTCCTGCTCGGCCTGGACATGTGCTCTGGTATCCTCAACCTCATCTCCATCATCATGATCCTTGTGGACACCATGGGCTTGATGGCCATATGGGGCATCACCTACAATGCTGTGTCCCTCATCAACCTGGTCACGGTAACTTCTTACACATGAGCACCTGCTGGCCCTTGGAAGAATGGTTGGGGTCCAGCCTCATAGGATACTCCCAGTTCTGTTTAGAATCTGGACACCTGTCCTACTTCTGCCTTCTGCTTTCTCAGCTGAAGCTCCTTCTCTGCCTGTAGGCGGTGGGCATGTCTGTGGAGTTTGTGTCCCACATCACCCGCTCCTTTGCTGTTAGCACGAAGCCTACTCGGCTGGAGAGGGCTGAAGAAGCTACCGTCTTTATGGGCAGTGCGGTGAGTGGAGTGGGGTCAGCCACCCTATGCCCCAACTAACATTTTGTGTCCCATTTGACAATTAGCTGTGACTCCTCTCTCCCCCCAGGTATTTGCTGGAGTGGCCATGACCAACCTGCCAGGTATTCTTGTCCTGGGCCTTGCTGATGCCCAGCTCATCCAGATCTTCTTCTTCCGGCTCAATTTATTGATAACCCTGCTGGGCATGGTGCATGGACTGGTCTTTCTGCCGGTTGTACTGAGTTACCTGGGTGAGTAGCCAGGCCTGTACCTGCTAGGCTGTGGTGACTGTGCTGATGACAACACACATTCCAGGGAAATTCAGGAGTACATGATGGCCTCCAGCAAATGTTGTCAGAACTCCCAGGGCCCAAAGTAAGGCCACACCTCCTGATTTTAAAGACTCCCTCCCTCCCTCCCTCCCTCCCTTCCTTCCTTCCTTCCTTCCTTCCTGTGCTAGTCTTGGGGCTTTGGCCCTGTCCCTGGGCTTTTTATTTTCTCAAATCTGGTGCTTTACCAGTTAAGCCACATCTCTGCTTCTAGTTTTTTGGAAGTTAATTGAAGATAAGAGACTCACAGGCTTTCCTGCCTAGGCTGGTTTTGAACCATGATCCTCAGATCTCAGCTTCCTGAGTTGCCAGGATTGTAGGCATGAGCCGTTGGTGCCCAGTATATTTTTATCTTTTTTTTTTTTTTTTAAATCAGTCATGGGTTTGAACTCTGGGCCTGGGCACTGTCCCTCAGCTCTTCAGCTCAAGGTGAGCACTCTACCGCTTAATCCACAGTGCTACTTCTGGTTTTCTAGTGGTTTATTAGAGATTAGAATCACACAGACATTCCTGCCCGGGCAGGCTTTGAACCTTGATCCTCAGATCTCAGCCTCCTGAGTAGCTAGATTACAGGCGTGAGCCACTGGCGCATTGCTCTTTTTTTTTTTTAATTTTTTATCTTAAACATTCTGTCAGTGGCCCACTGAATTGCTGTTAGGCTAGTGCTCTACCACTTTGAGCCACAGCACTACTTCTAAGATCTGAAGATCTTGATTCAAAGCCAGCCCGGGCAGGAAATCTGTGAGACTCCTATCTCCAATTAACCACCAAACAGTCAGAAGTGAAGCTGTAGCTCAAATGGTAGAATGCCAAAAGACCGGAAGTGGAGATGTGGCTCAAAGAGGGTCGAAAAAGGGCTCAGGGACAGTGCCCAGGCCCTGAGTTCAAGCTCCACAAAAAAGATCTTTAGGTCTCATCTTTCTGAGTAGCTAGGATTACCAGTAGGAGCCATTATCACCTGGCTGTCATTTAATATTTCTTTGGAGAGAATCTGTGTCTGTTATGAGTATTGTTAATTCTCTCTAGAAAGTTTTACCATTTAAACTTGAACCAGCTGTGTGTGCAGTTGTTCACTCTCCTGAATCCTCTTGTTGAAAATCTCTCTCCAAAGATTTAAACTGAGCTCCCAAGAACAAAGATGTTGTGTCTCTCAGGCGGACAAGCTGGGACGAGTCTAACTTTACTCTTCCCCTCCCCCCATTAGACTGTATTGGTAATATAATACTAGCCAAAGGTTAAGTTTGTATCATCAACATATGTGTCAACCCTGAGGTCAATATAACAGATTAGGAAACTGAGACATCTATATCAGGTCACAAACTTTGTCTGCAGAGTTGTAGCCTATCCAGTTTCAGTATCACTAGTGTGTGTGTGTGTGTGTGTGTGTGTGTGTGTGTGTTTTCAAGCCTGGATACTGTCCCTGAGTTTTTTTTTTTTTTTTTTTTGCTCAAGGCTAGTACTCTATCACTTAGGCCACAGTTCCACTTCTGGATTTTTAGTGGTTAGAGATAGGAGTCTCATGGGCCTTCCTGCCCTAGCTGCCTTTGAACCAGGATCCTCAGCTCTCAGCCTCCTGAGTAGCTAGGATTACAGGTGTGAGCAACTGATGCCTGGCCCCTGACTTTATTGTAGAGAGTAAGCAACAGCATCTCTTAAAAAAGGTTGCTATAAATGGCAGTACAGAAGTGTGCCAGTAAGAAAAGGAGAGAGACTGGGTCCCAGAGCTTCTCCTGAGAAAGTAGGGGGCAGCATACATGCCAGCTGAACTGGCAACTGGTGAGGCAGAGCAAGAACAGAGGGGTACAGATGAAGTTAGAAGCTTGGCTTGTGCTTTGTAGTCTTGCATTCCAGGCTATGCTGCTGCTTACATGCCCCCTTCTGAGTATGGCCTCTGTTTCTGTCTTTCTGCAGGACCTGATGTTAACCCAGCTCTGGCACTGGAACAGAAACAAACCGAAGAGATGGCAACAGCCAATGAGATCTCCTGCCCAAAGCATCCCTTCCCTCCTGATGTGACCAATAATGTCTATGTCAACCATGGCTTCTAAGATTTTGCCATACAAGCTGGTGCCATCAGCGCTTCCTTGCCACATCTTGTATTGGTTCCATGGATGTGGCTGCGAGGTTGTGAGGGTCTCTCCCATGGTAGACTCCCAGCCCACTCTCTTCTTTGCCTAGGGAACTGCTCCAGGGTTGTGTCTGTCACTCTGGCCATGAGGTGTCCAGCAGCATCAGCAGTGGCCTGTCTACTCACAGTGCAGGTCTTCTCTTGTGTCCAGGTCCCTTAGATCTTGGCTGGTCTGAGGTTACTTCCTCCTTTTGCTTCCAGAGATATACTTGATGTGGGTCCCAGGTACAGATTCTCTCAGGAGTGCCACTTCCCACTCAGCTTTCCCCTCCCCTTACATTTTTTTTTTTTGGGTCCGGTTGTGGGGCCTGAACTCTGGGCCTGGGAGCTGTCCCTCAGCTCTTCAGCTCAAGGCTAGCGCTCTACCACTTGAGCCACAGTGCCACTTCCGGCTTTTTTCTTTTTTCTTATATGGTGCTGAGGAATCGAACCCAGGGCCTCAGGCATGTAAGGCAAGCACTCTACCACTGAGCCAACTTCCCAGCCCTCCCCTTACTTCTCATATCAAAAAGTCTCAATTCCATGATAGTTTCCCTGATAAGAGACAGAGGGACCCAATTCTAAGCAGTGACGCCACAGGAGACTAGGGAAAGCTAAAGGTGTCCTTGTACATTTGCCACCTACAATTCTTTCTGGTGAGGGAAGGGTCCTGAGAGGATTTGGCTATGGCTTGACCCCACCCAGAAAGTGCTATTTGGTTTGGCTTCCAGTGCCAGCAACTATAAATGTTACCATTAGGGAGGCTTATGTCTGTCTGGTGGCTGGGAGCTTGGCCAGACGATTCTCCAGTTCTAGGTCTGGAATACTTACCTGTTGGCTTCAAACTGACCCAACCTAATCCTCTGCCAAGAATTCTCCAGAGCCATCAGCTGCAGAGGGGGAGGAAGAGGTCTTGTATAGAAATGATTAATAAATACTTGCTGCAAATAAATGGTGTTTTATCTCACACATCCTGTTCTGGATGTCTCTGGGTTTAAGATAACTTTGCAAATGACACCAATAATACAAATATGGGGGGAGTGACATATGGGGATATAAGGTTGTGTTTAGCTCTATTTCTCCTTCTTTTCAAGAAAATGGCCAGGCCATGGATAAGCCTTTGTTTTATAAGTGCCTGTGCTGAGTAGGACTAATGGCTCTTCAGAGAGGGCACAGAACCTGGAGTCAGCAGGGTAGAAGGTTTCATGAGAATAGCCCATTGTGGGGGGAACACTTGGAGAAACCAGGGTGCACTCAAAGGAGAGGAGCCTATCACACAAACTACCAGCTCTGTGGAAGGTCCTTTGTCAAGTATAGTAGATGAAATTATCAGGGAACACTCTAGATCTCCCTTGAGCCTCTGACTTCCCTTTGTGTCTATCCCTGTCTTGGACGAAGAGCTCCCATGGCTTCTTGAACAGGAAGGTGATGTGAGGATGAGCCAATGCATGGAAAGGAGCTAGCATCTTTGGAATTAACATGTAGGGTTTTTATGTGTGTATGCCAAAGAAGGAGCTTGAACTCCGGGTCTGGACACTGTATCCTTTAGCTTTTTGCTCAAGATTGGAAGGGTGTTTACCACTTGAGCTACAGCTCTACTTCTGGCTTTTTGGTGGTTAGTTGGGGATAAAAACCTTATGGATAGCCGGGCGCTGGTGGCTCACGCCTGTAATCCTAGCTACTCAGGAGGCTGAGATCTGAGGATCACAGTTCAAAGCCAGCCCGGGCAGGAGAGACCGTGAGACTCCTATCTCCAATAAACCACCAGAAAACCGGAAGTGGCGCTGTAGCTCCAGTGGTAGAGCGCTCGCCTTGAGCTGAAGAGCTGAAGGACAGCACCCAGGCCCAGAGTTCAAGCCCCACGACCGACAAAAAAAAAAAAAAAAACCTTATGGATCTTCCTGCATAAGCTGGCTTAGAACTGTGATCCCCAGACCTCAGCTTCTTGAGTAGCTAGGCTTACAGAAATGAGCCATTAGTGCCAGGTTTTTGTTTTGTTTTGTTTTTTTTTGAGTGTATGCTGGTGCACTGTCTCTTAGCTTTTTCTGCTCATGCTTTTTGAGCCATTCCTAATTTTTGGTGGTTAATTGGAAATAAGTCACATGGGCTTTCCTCACTGGGCTGGCTTTAAACTACAATCCTCAGCTCTCAGCCTCTTGAGTAGCTAGGATTAGAGGCTTCAGCTACAGATTCCAAACTTGATAAGCAAGTTTAATTTAAAAAATTATTATTACAAAGGCATTTATGAAGGGGTTATAGTTACAGTTACATGTCAGGTAAAGAGGCCTTTTCTTTTCTTTTGTCCATCATGGTGCCTGAACTCTGGGCTTGGGTACTGTCCCTGAGCTCTTCAGCTCAAGGCTAGTGCTCTACCACTTGAGCCAGAGCACCACTTCCGGCTTTTTCTGCATATGTGGTGCTGAGGAATCAAACCCAGGGCCTCATGCATGTAAGGCAAACACTCTACCACCGAGCCACCTTCCCAGTCCCTAAAGAGGACTTTTCTCTCTCTCTCTCTTTCTTTCTTTCTGTCGGTTGTGGGGCTTGAACTGGGAGCCTGAGTGCTGTTCCTCAGCTCTTCAGCTCAAGGATAGCACTCTACCACTTGAGCAACAGCACCACTTCCAGTCTTCTGATAGTTTATTGAAGATAAGAGTTTGGGGGGGGGGAAGGGGGCAGAGGGGGAGATGGGAAGGAAGGGGAAACAGAGGAGGAGGCAACAATGCTTGATAAGAAATGTGCTCATGTAATTGTAACCCCTCTATATGGTATTTTCACAATTAAAAAAAAAAAGAGTTTCACGGTTTTTCCTCCCTGGGATGGTTTTGAACTGTGATCCTCAGATCTCAGCCTCCTGAGTAGTTAGGATTACAGGCTTGAGCCATCGGTGCCCAGCTAAGAGGACTTTTCTTTTTGGACAATATCACCCCTTCCCTCACTTCCTCTCTTCTAGTTTTTCTTTCTTGATAATCAGATTTAAAAATCTAAATTAAATTTTAGTTTTTGGCAACACTAGGATTTGAACTCAGGGACTCATGCTTGTTAGGAGGTAGTGTGCCATTAGAGCCGTGTCCCTAGCTTTCCTTTTTGATTTGTTATGGTTTCTTCCTTCCTTCCTTCCTTTCTTTCTTTTCTTTTTCTCTTTCCCTCCTTCCAGTGCTTCATTCCCTCCCTTCCTTTCTCCATCCCTCCTGTCCTTCCTTCCTTCCTTCTTCCTTCCTTTTTTTAGGGTAGGGTTTTGTGTTTTTGTTTGGATCTGGCCTCAGACCACCATCCTTTTATCTATATTCTCCAGAATTACTGGGACTAGAGGTACACACACACACACACACACACACACACACACACACACACACACAGACTTACTTGTTAAGATGTGAGTTCTTGCTGATCTCAAGCCCAATTTCACCTCCAGAGAAGCTAAGATTACATAGGGATTAATTGGAACTAAATTAGAATTAAAAAACCCAGCCTCTTCCTGAGGTTTCTATGGTGGCTCTCAGTGGAGAGATGGTGGCCGGTGGCAATGATCCTCGTGAGGGTAATGTAGAAAAGGATGCCATACATCTCATATTCTCCAAAGAGTTTGAAACAGCTGAGACACTTCTGAATTAGTTAATATACTTCTGGAGCATAAAAAGCAACAGAAAGAGGGGCTGGGAATGTGGCTTAGTGGTAGAGAGCTTGCCTAGCATGCATGAAGCCCTGGGTTCGACTTCTCAGTACCACATAAACAGAAAAAGCTGCAGCTGTGGCTCAAGTCTTGAGCAAAAGAAGCTCAGGGACAGTGCCCAGACTCTGAGTTCAAGCCCCAGGACTGGCAAAAAAGAAAGCAAGCAACAGCAAGAGATTGCAGAAGATGAGCAGGAACTCTCAGAGGTCTTCATGAAAGCTTTAAACTGTACAGCTCATTTCAGTCATTTCAAAAACAGAGACAACATTGCTAGTGTCCATAGTTTGCTTTTCCAGAAAAAGCTACATAAGTTTGAGTTGGCCTGTTTGGCCTAGGAGTTCAAACCTCTGATCCCAAGCCTACAGGGGCGACTTGAAGATGAGGAGCTACAGCAGATTCCTGAGTATACCCAGGCCAAACACAGTTTTCAATATTAATCTCCAGATACCACTTTGCTCCTTGTGGGGAACCATGTTCCCAGAAAAGTTCTGCCCTGCCAAGAAATTCTACTGTGGAAGATAGCTGAGCTTCTTTTGGAGAGGACAGCCTAGCTTGCTTTTTCACATGTGGCTGTGAGACCATGAGAACCATGGAATTTTGTTGTGGCTTTGCAGGTATCTGCAGGGCTACCTAAGCATGCCACTAGCTAGGAAGGTTGCAGCAGGGCAAAGTGCAAGTCACACTGTTGACTACCTCACATTATGTTTTGTGGACCTCCGACAATTCATAATAATTTTAATATGCTTATAGTTTTTGAACAAAGCTTAAAGAACATAGAACACTTTACAGAGTAAGAATGCTTTTACCTAGGGGGAAAAGGAAGGATTAAACCTGACTAATTTCATTATTTGAGAGGACATGAGTGATTTTCTTTTCTTTCTTTCTTTTTTTTTTTAATTGCAGATAAGAGTCTCATGGATTTTTCTGCCTAGGCCGGCTTCTAACCACAATCCTCAGATCTCTGCCTCATGAGTAGGTAGAATTGCAGGTGCAAGCCACCAGTGCCCAGTAGATCCTGGCATTCTTGTTGTTTGGGTCCGGTCGTGGGGCCTGTACTCTGGGCCTGGGAGCTGTCCCTCAGCTCTTCAGCTCAAGGCTAGCTCTCTACCACTTGAGCCACAGCGCCACTTCCGGCTTTTTTGTTTTTGCTTATGTGGTGCTAAGGAATCTAACCCAGGGCCTCAGGCATGCAAGGCAAGCGCTCTACCACTGAGCCACCTTCCCAGCCCACATGAGTGATTTTCTATCACTGTGACTAACCCAGGAGATAAAAAGGAATGACACCCTAGGAAGTATGGTGAGATGATGTCCCCTGGTATGGGCCCTGGGCTTTTTGCCTTGAAGTACAGTTATTTATCTCTCTGGCTGTCTTGCAGAAGATACACTTGGATTGGCCCTGAAGCATTTGTTTTGTCATCCTGAAGTTAAGATTTTCCTTTATAGACCAGCCTAAAAGGTTTAAATACTTTGAAGTTTCCTGTCATGTGTTATTTAGTCTTTACCTTTATCATGTTACAGGTGTTCTGTGACACAGTGATGCGGAGGGATGGCGTGTTCTTACCTTAGCAATTGCACTTGCTAGGTGGGGGAGATGTAAATACCTAAACATTCTGGCTTTGATTATTCTGGAGGGAAATATATATTTTCCTCACACAAAAATAAATTTAAAAAGCATGCTCCTCGGTGAAGTTCACAGCTTCCCAATTATTATATATTTCTCAGAAGAGGTCAGGGGTAATTTTTTTTGGAAAATTTATAACAAGTAAAAACATGGAAGAGTTGTATAGCATAGTGAACAAAGCAAACGTTCACATGACTCACTCATGATGGTGTAAAATCATGCATTTAACCTGGTGCTGGTGGCTCCTGCCTATAATCTTAGCTACTCAGGAGACTGAGATTTGAGGATTGCAGTTTGAAGCCTGACTGGGCAGGAAACTATGATTCTCAGATCTCAGCCTCCTGAGTATTACAGGCATGAGCCATGGGTAGCTGGCCAATCTAACAATCATACTCTAATTTTCTTAAAATGTCTATAAAACTTGTGCCCGGAAGTGGCGCTGTGGCTCAACTGGTAGAGTGCTCACCTTGAGCTGAAGAGCACAGGGACAGCACCCAATTCCAGAGTTCAAGCCCCATGACCAACCAAAAAAAAAAAAAAAAGCTGGATGCCGGTGGCTCACGTTTGTAATCCTACTACTCAGGGGGCTAAGATCTGAGGATCACAGTTCAAAGGCAACCTGGGCAGGAAAGTCCATGATCTCCAATTAACCACTAGAAAACCAGAAGTGGCACTGTGGATCAAGTGGTAGAGAGCTCACCTTAAACTGAAGAGCTGAGGGACAGCATGCAGGACCAGAGTTCACGCCCCATGACTAACAAAAAATAAAAAAATGCCTATAACTATTGATTGGGAGGAGAGGAAGGAGAAATACTTGAAGAAGCGGGAGTGAGTGTAGGGTTGGACTCAGGGCTGAGGCAGGCTCCCTCTTTGGTCTCAGTACATTATGCCCAGGGAAGCAACAGTGGTAGCTGTGGGGTCGGCGGAGAGTGACTGGGAGTAATCAGCAGTGCCTGTGCTAGTTACAACACAGGAATCACAACAAACAACAAATTCTACAGAAGCACTATGGCATTACTTCTCCTATCCACTTAGCAGTCTCCAAGGAGACTGATTACTTACTTACACAGAAACTGATTTGAGATACTGAAGAACTTTGGGGTTGTTTAAAGAGGAAGAGAACCAATAGCACAGGATTTTAGTTTTGGAAAAATTAAACATGGTGAAAGTGGATATGAGAAATTAGTGAAAGCAAGAATATTGCACAATTTTGTAAATGAAAATGGTGGAGGAGGGGCTGGAAAGGTGGCTCAATGGTAGAGTGCTTGCCTTGCATGCATGAGGCCCTGGGTTCAATTCTTCAGCACCACATAAGCAGAAAAAGCCAGAAGTGGCACTAGCCTTGAACTGAAGAGTTGAGGACAGTGCCCAGGTCCTGAGTTCAAGCCACACAACCGACAAAAAAAAAAAATATATATGCTTTGTGCAGAAATGTTTGTTAAAGTATAATCTTGAAAAAATATTACCAGAGGTGGTAAAGTCAGTTCAAAGACATTTTGAGGATATTTGTAGATATTTTTTTGCAATCAATTTTATTTTCATATAATCTGAACACATACCCTTTGGAAGATACCAAGAAAAATTCATGTACAAGAAATATTGCTATTGTATTCTGAGCTGGCAAGTTCTTGCTACTAGCATAGCTCTAGAAACACCACTGAGAAGTTGCCTTCTTCTTCTTCCCTTTTCTTTCTTCTTCTCCTCCTTGAACTCTGAGCCTTGGTGCTGTCCCTCAGCTCTTCAGCTCAAGTCTAGCACTCTACCACTTGAGCCACAGTGCCACTTCCGGCTTTTTCTGATTATATGGTACTGAGGAACCAAACCCAGAGCTTCATGCATACTAGCATGAGCCACATTCCCAGCACCTTAATCATATTTTTATAATACAGTATTTCACAACGTGGTCACAATACATTATTCGGCACCACGCTTTTCCCACTTGAATGTGGATAGTCTACGTTTCTTTCTTTCTTTTTTGGTCGGTCGTGGGCCTTGAACTCTGGGCCTGGGTTCTGTCCCTCAGCTCTTCAGCTCAAGGCAAGAGCTCTACCATTTGAGCTACAGCGCCACGTCTAGTTTTCTAGTGGTTTATTGGAGATAAGAGTTTCACAGACTTTCCTGCCCAGGCTGGCTTTGAACTGCGATCCTCAGATCTCAGCCTCCTGAGTAGCTAGGATGACAGGCATGAGCCACCAGCGCCCGGCTACGTTACTTTTTTTTGACTTTACCTTCCTTTCTTCCGTGTGTGTGTGTGTGTGTGTGTGTGTGTGTGTGTGTGTTCGTGCTGGGACTTGAACCCAGGGTGTGGATGCGGTCCCAGGGTTTTTGCTCAAGGCTAGGGCTCTGCCATTGGAGCCACAGTCCCATTCCTCTCATGGCGATTAATTACAGATGAGTATCTGCCGAGGCTGGCTTCGAACAGCGATTCTCAGGTGTCGGTCTGGATTGCAGGCATGCGCCGCTGGCACCGGGCTCAGCTGCGTTCTTGCCTTTACTCAAGTCACCTTGGATGTCTTCTGAGTGGGCTCCACTCAAGAATCCACATACGAACCGCGAACGTGTCCTTTTCCTTCCCGGCCGGCAGGCCGCAGCGCCGAGGTCAGGAGAGCGCCGCGGAACCCAGCCCAGGGGAGACGCGGGCGCCCGGACAGCCGGCCCAGCCCCCGGCGGCTACGCGGTGCGCGCGAGGTCACGTGATGTTCCCACGCCACAAGTCTTCCGCCCGCTTCAGTCATGGCCGCCGGAACCCCTCAGCGCACCTCCCCTGGCCCCTCTAGGGCATAGGAGCTACACTGCGCCCCACGTTGGGCTGTTTTACCGAGGTGCCGCCGCTGGGAACGTTTAGCGGGGACCTAGAGCCAGGGGAGAGCAGTCCGGAGCCGCGGGGGACAGAACACGCACGGGCCGGAAGTTCCGCAGCCTCCCCTACTGGGGGGGGGGAGCAGTTAAGCGCGCATACCGGAAGTGGCCACTTAGCCAGTGCGAGGCCGCGCCCGCGGGGTGAGCGTCCCTGACAGTGGAGACATGGAGCCCGGGGCTGCCGAACTCTACGACCAGGCCTTGCTGGGCATCCTGCAGCACGTGGGCAACGTTCAAGATTTCCTGCGCGTGCTTTTCGGCTTTCTCTACCGCAAGACCGACTTCTACCGCTTGCTGCGCCATCCGTCGGACCGCATGGGCTTCCCGCCCGGGGCCGCGCAGGCCCTAGTGCTGCAGGTGAGTCCGTGCCCCGTGCGGGCCGTTAGGGTCCGGACGGTCCCTTCGCCGGCCCGTCCGCCGGCTCCCGACACGCCCCCCTCCCCTGGCCTGGCGTGACAGCTCTGCTAGCCCTCCACTCTACACTTGGCATCTCTCCTCCGGTCGTGGCGTGGATTCTGCGCCGATCGCCCTGGGTAACTTGAGCGGATCAGATGTCAAGCTTCTTTGCCTTTGGAACAGCTTTGCTGGGCTGTTCTTAGGTGTCAGACACAGCTTGATATTCAAGATTCTTCGCATCGCCCCACAGGCATACCAGGCAGGGCAGGGGCTTCTGGGTTGTGTGATAACCGAGCAGTAGGTGCAAGGGAAGGACACTCATCATAGCAGAAACTTGCATGATTCAAAACTATCACTCTCTGGAGACAAACGGGAGGACCTTGGGTGTGTTGATGGGTGGGTGTGGCCACTTACAGAGACGTGACTTCTTTGGGAGAAAAAAGCCAGTAACTCAACCTGGAAACTATTCAGAAGGCTGAGATCTAAGGATCACTGTTCAAAGTTAGGTCAGATAGAAAAGTCAGTGAGACTCTTATTGGAAAGTGGAGTTGTGTTTCAAGTGATAGAGGGCTAACCTTGCGTGGAAAAGCTAAGCAACAACTCCCAGGCTCCACGCCCCACCCTCCCCAAGACAGTCATTGTAGTGTTGACCAGGATGATAATTATTGTTTTTGTTTTTGTTCTGGAGGTTGAACTCAGGGCCCTGTACTTGCTAGGAAGGTGCTCTACCATTTGAGCTACTCTACCAGTCTCTATTTGTGTCTTTATGCCTGTCAGACCTGGATTGCGATCCTTTTGTTTTTCTCTCCATCATTGGAATGACAGGTGTGCCACCTGCCCACCTTTTTTTGTTGAGAGGAAGCCTTGATAACTTTTTCCTGGTTTGGCTTGGAACCTCAATCTTTCTAGTCTCTACCTTCCACATAGCTGAGTTAACAAGTATGAGTTATAGTGCTTGTAATGATTATTAAATTTATGTCTGGACTTAAGTCTGTGCATTTCTGGTTGAATTAAAATTCTCTCTTTGGAACTCTGTTAATACTGAATGAAATTAGGCCAGCACTTTTTTTTTTTTGGTAGTACTGAGGTTAAAGCTCAGGCCATGTGCTTTCAAGTCATTTACTCGTGCACCCAGCCCCCCCTTTTTTTTTTGTCAGTTGTAGGGCTTGAACTCTGGGCCTGGATACTGTCCTTGCGCTCTTCAGCTCAAGGTGAGCACTCTACCACTTGAGCCACAGTGCCACTTCCAGTTTTCTGAGTAGTTTATTGGGGATAAGAGTCTCATGGACTTTCCTGCCTGGGCTGGATTTGAACCTCGATCCTCAGATCTCAGCCTCCTGAGTAGCTAGGATTACAGGCATGAGCCACTGGCGCCTGACTACCCAGCCTTTTTGCTTCGTTATTTTCAAATAGGGTCTTGGGGTTTTGCCCAACTAGCCTGGATCTGAAGTCCTATTTTAGGACTGTTATGTCCCCTGTAGGTGGGATGACAGGTACATCACCATGCCCAGCTATTTTGGTTGAGCTGGAGTCTACTAACTTTTTGCCTGGCCTGGCATGGAACCTCAATACTCCCAATCTCCACCTCCTACAATTCTAGTGTTTCAGGCATGAACCACCACAAACTACTTTAACTAGGCACTTTTGAATGTAATAAGCAAGCATTTACTGAATATATCATACACTCCCAGCTGCCACAGGCACTGGTGATGTGGGTGTTTAATATTCTCTATTCATTACATTTACTCTAAGAAAATAAAACAAAAGGCAACAGGGAACGCTGCAAGGCCACTTATGTAATACAGTTGGCTAGAAGTAATAGAAATGATAGATTGAGAAGGTTTTTTAGGAGAAGTGGAAAAATACTCAACAGGAGATCGAGACTGAAGGAATCTGTTGATACCTTCCATAGTCTTTTTGCACTTATAAGGAACTTCAGTGTTTTACATTCTGAAGTCTTCCGGCTTGTAGCATGATTAGGTGTTATTCTTCAGTATCTAAAAGAAGAAATCAGAGCTTTGAGTGTCCTAGGTCTATGCTAGTAATGGTGGTCAGATGAGGGGAGAACATGGTATTCATTAGGATTGTTTCATAACTGAAGAGTATTTCTCATACTTATCAGTGATCCAATGATATTTGAGTGTCCAAAGAGAACTGTCCAAGGTGGCTTTTCGCTGGCCATTATGGCAGTTTAGTGAATTTTGTCCCATAATCTTCACAATATCTCTGTACACTAGGTAAGGCTGAAAAGTGAAATGATGTGATAGGAATACAGGAACACAGAACTCTCTTTCTCTACTTATTAATCTTTCTGCTGTGTTAATTGCTTCTTAGTAGTTAGTTGAAAACACTTTGGTATAGATGATTGTAGCTTATAGAAAGGTGTGAAAGAAAAAACATTTACTGAGAGCTGGTATGAGCCAGTAGCAGGTTATTTTACATTTTGGGGTATTAAATTTTTTTTGTTGTTGTTGTTGGTCGCGGGGCTTGAACTCTGGGCCTGGGTGCTGTCCCTCACCTCTTCAGCTCAAGGCAAGAGCTCTACCACTTGAGCCACAGCACCACTTCCGGTTTTCTAGTGGTTTATTGGAGATAGGAGTCTCACGGTCTTTTCTGCCCAGGCTGGCTTTGAACTGCGATCCTCAGATCTCAGCCTCCTGAATAGCTAGGATTACAGGCGTGAGCCACCGTACCCTGCTTCATTTTGGGGTATTATCCAGCACAACGAGACATTGGTCATTGGTCTTTGTTTCACAGATGAACCAACAGAGGTAAAGCATTTGTTTATCTTGTAAACACTTGTGAAACACCTCTGAAAGGTCAAGACATACCTGAGACTAAGGACTGGTAGTGTTGTAGTGAAATGGAGGGGGAACAGGGACAGTGGAAGGGAAGTGAATTAAAGATGATCCAAGCTTTCAAACCCTTGTAAGTGGAAAATGCAGTAGTTGAACTGTTATCTGAGTTTAAGTTTAGGTATCAACAAATTGCATTGAATTTGAGATTGTGGATAGATATCCCTGCCCACAGGCTATTGGAATAGGGTCTGAATTTTGTAGAAGAAGGAGGAAGAGATCTGAGACAGAGAAGAGCCAAAAGTAGAAGCCATCTGGGGACCCACCACAGAGCAGCATGCGTCACAGATACTTGGGATGTATCCAGCAGATGCTTGAGAGGGATGTCAAAAAGAAAGAAAAAAAAGTGTTTCTCAACCTTTTTTTTTTTTTTTTTGCCTGTTCTGGGGCTTGAACTCAGGGCCTGGGCACTGTCTTTGAGCTTCTTTTGCTCAAGGCTAGCACTCTGCCACTTGAGCCACAGTGCCACTTCTGGCTTTTTGAGGTATTGAGGAATGGAACCCGGGACTTAATGCACTCTAGGCAAGCACTCTACCACTAAGGCACATTCCCAACCCCTCAAACATTCTTGAATGTTTTTGTTGGGTAGATCATAGTGAGTCCTAGGAACTTGCTTTGGTTTGTGTGTGTGTGTGTGCGCGCGCGCGCGTGTGTGTGTGTGTGTGTGTGTGCACGTGCGTGTGCATGAATGCATGTGCATGTGCATGAATGCATGTGCATGTGCATGTGCTGGTCCTGGGGCTTGAATTCAGTCTGGGCACTGTCTCTGAGCTTCTTTGGCTCAAGGTTAGTGCTCTCCCACTTGAGCCACAGCTCCACTTCTGGCATTTTTGGTAGTTAATTGGAAATTAGTTCACAGGTTTTCCTGCTTAGACTTAACTTCCAACTTCGATCCTCAGATCTCAGCCTCCTGAGTAGCTAGGATTACAGCCACTGATACCTGGCAGGAACCTGTTTTTTTATTCACAGAAGGATATTTGGCAGGAGGCTTACAAGGTGATTTCAGTATTGGCCATAATTTGGTTGTGGGATAAGCTATCCCTGGATGTAGTATGTCATATTCTGAGCACTTACTTCCGTTCATCTGCTTTTTAGGTTTTGCCCCCAATTCAGTGGTGCTGGTTCTTTTTCTTTTTATTTGTTGGTTGTGGGGCTTGACCTCTGGGCCTGAGCGCTGGCCCTCAGCTCTTCAGCTCAAGGCAAGCGCTCTGCCACTTGAACTACAGCACCACTTCCGGTTTTCTGAGTGTTTATTGGAGATAAGAGTTTCACAGACTTTCCTGCCTGGGCTGGCTTTGAACTGTGATCCTCAGATCTCAGCCTCCTGAGTAGTTAGTATTACAGGCGTGAGCCACCGGTGCCCAGCTGGTGTTGGGTTCTTTCCTGAGGATCCCAATCCCATGCAGAGGATGCTCAGGATCTATGAACATAGAGTTGGGCTGCTGCTTTCTGAAACTTGAAAGCTTTTCTCTGATATTTCGGGGGATTGGACATTTGGTGTAATATAAGGTGTCTCACATTTTCTGTCCACGTTCTAAGGGCTACACTGTTCACTTTGAAGGACCCTCATCAAGAGTGATGTATGTGAAAATTGTATTCCATTTCATAATAATATGTCTTTAGAAAAAAATAGTAAAGATTAGCATGCATTCTTTTTTTTTTTATTTGGTCCAGTTGTGGGGCCTGAACTCTGGGCTGGGGTGCTGTCCCTCAGCTCTTCAGCTCAAGGCTAGCACTCTACCCCTTGAGCCACAGCGCCACTTCTGGCTTTTTTGTTTTTACTTAAATGGTGCTGAGGAATTGAACCCAGGGCCTCATGCATGCAAGGCAAGCGCTCTACCACTGAGCCAACTTCCCAGCCCTAGCATGCATTCTTAACAGTTGATACCTGTGCTTATTCTAGAGTACAGTTTTAGAAGTGCCATTTAGTACAAGCCTTCAATATGAGACTCAGGAAAGAAAGCTGTGTTGTTCCTGTCTTGTCAGCTGAGCAGGTAGATTGGTGGTCATTGGTGTCCTTTCCAATCTAGGATTCTGGGACTGTAGAATGAGTACTGAGAACTCATGGCAGCTGGGAGGCCCATGGTGACATGAGATTCCTTCTGTGAGGTATGGAGGGGCAGGTCAGAGGAAGCTGAGCATGCTGAGTAGCAAAGATCATCAGTTCTTGGGGACCAGGAAGTCCTGGCTTGGAAGTCTTAGGGTGTGGGAAGGAGTCCGTTGATTTGCTTTTGTAGTTAAGATGAAGATCTAGGGTGCTGGGAGGTGGAGTGGCTTTGAGGAACTGTTGTCAGCATGGGTATTGGAGAGAAAGGGAGTCAGAGCTTCAAGTCATCTACAGAGTAGAAATGGATCTGGGTTCTTGTCAGTTTTTAACATTTTTGGAATTTAAAATTTTTCTTCTGCCTGCATTGCCTCTCAACTGTTTGGTGTGTCTGGCATATTTTAAAAAAAATTATCTTTCACTGACAGGACCATAGGCAAGTTACTTAACTCTTTTGAGCCTTATTTTCTTCATTTGGGAACTTACAGGACTTTTGGGAGGGTTTATGTGTATTTGTAGTTACATGTGGTACAGTTCGTATGTTCATACCTGTCGTCTGGCAGTTCACAGATGCTGTTATTGCATGCCTGTTGCATGTCTGACTCCTACCCAATACCCAGGTTGGTCCTTCATCCTTTCCTCCCTCTAGCTATTGCATGGGATCTTGTTTTGTCTTTTCTTTTCTCTTCTTTTCTTTGCCTTGTGCTTGCTAGTCAAACACAAATACTCTACCACTTGAGCCAAGTCCCCAGTCCTATATTTTTTCTTTCCCTCTGCAGTACTGAGCTTTGAAGTTAGGACCTTTTTCATGAGCTTCACCCTCAGCCCCTTGCCTGCACTTTTTTGGTAGACAGGTCTCAGTCCCATCACATGTGAGATTGTATACCAAAAGAGGTTGAGGACTCGTGCACCAGAGTTAAAGGTGCACCAGAGTTAAAGATGTTAGAAGGCGTTACCTGTCACTCACTTGTGTGTGTGTGTGTGTGTGTTTTGCACACTGTCGGCATCTAGTGGATGTTTGTGGAATGGAATGCCCATACTCTCCGGAAGCCTGGGTACAATTTTCTTTTTTTGTGTGGGGGGGTCTGGTTGTGGGGCCTGAACTCTGGGCCTGGGCGCTGTCCCTTAGCTCTCCAGCGCAAGGCTAGCACTCTACCACTTGAGCCACAGTGCCACTTCTGGCTTTTTTCTTTTAGCTTATGTGGTGCTGAGGAATTGAACCCAGGGCCTCAGGCATGCAAGGCAAGCGCTCTACCACTGAGCCACCTTCCCAGCCCCAAAGCCTGGGTACATTTTATGGGTTGCATGCAGTTCAACTAGATTTTCTTTCATTTTTTTGAGTCTGAGTGATTGACACCTTCACAAACTCATAGTATGAAGACAGTGTAATTTTTGCATTGTGAACAGATTGGGGCTGGCAAAAATCATGATTGCATCCTTTAGGTTGTAAACACTGTTAGCTTAGGCATGTGTGTGATTTTGGAAAATTCTCAAAGTTCATTTCTGTAACTAACTTTTGGTGAAGTTCTAACACATTTTTCCAAGGGGAATTTTTTTTTTTTTGGAGGGAGGGGGTTGGTCGTGGGGCTTGAGCTCTCCTCAGTGCTGTCCCTGAGCTCTGCAGCTCAAATCAAGGGCTCTAACACTTGAGCCACAGTGCTACTTTCGGGTTTTTGGTGGTTAATTGGAGAAAAGAGTGTCATGGACTTTCCTGCCCAGGTTGGCTTTTAACCACAATCCTCAAATCTCAGCCTCCTAAGTAGCTAGGATTGCAGGTGCCTGGCTAAAGTTTTTGTTTTTAAATTCTGTCCTACCAGATTTTGCTACACATCTGCAGAATATATAGTCCAGTACTGAGTAGATGAGCTGAATGCTGGGTTGGTGTTTGATTTTAGGTCTTTAAAACCTTTGATCACATGGCTCGTCAGGATGATGAGAAGCGGAGGAAAGAACTTGAAGAGAAGATCAGAAGAAAGGAAGAGGAAGCCAAAGCTGTAGTGATTGCTGCAGGTGACAAGGAACCAGTCCCAGCCCCCGTTCAGGAAATAGAGATTGACTCTGCCACAGAATTGGGTGGGCTTCAGGACAAGGAGAAAGTGGAGCCTCCAGTTCCACAGGGCCCCAAACAGGAGGTGGCCCGTAGCTTGGAGGGGGCTGAAGCTCCAGGGGCAGCCGTCACTGGTGCTGCTGAAGCCCTCCAGGAACCACCAGCACTTCCCAGGTAGGAATTCCTCCTCTGCAGCCCCCTCTCTCCTCCTTTGACAACTGGTAGTTGAGTATATCCAGAATTTTTTATTTCGTGTGATTTGAAAACAGTTCTGTGTGTGTGCGTGCATTTGTGCTAATACTGAGCTTGAACTAAGGGCCTGACATTCTTACTCAGCTTTCTTGCTCATAGCTGGTGCTCTACTCTTGAGCCTTGCCTTTGGTGTGGCATTTTACTGGTTAATTATAAATGTAGTTTCTCAGATTTTTCTGCCCTAGCTGGTTTTGAATTGTGATCCTCTAAAGCCTCAGCCTCCTTGACTAGATAGGATTACATAGGTGAGCTACTGGTGCCATGGTAAAACAGTAGTTGTTTATCTTGGCATTTATTTAACTCTTCACACTAATAAACTGCCTTATAGTCCTTATCTGTTTAAGGTTTTATCAAGAGATTGCAGGAAGTGGTGCTGTAGCTCAAGTGGTAGAGTGCTCCCCTTGAGCTGAAGAGCGCAAGAACAACACCCAAGCCCAGAGTTCAAGCCCCACCACTGACAAAAAAAAAAGCTCCCATAAATGCTATGCTTTAGTGAATAGAGAGTTGTTAATTTATGGGCTGGGAAGGTGGCTCAGTGGTAGAGTGCTTGTCTTACATGCATGAGGCCCTGGGTTCGATTCCTCAGCACCACATAAGCAGAAAAAGCTGGAAGTGGCACTGTGGCTCAAGTTGTAGAGTACTAGCCTTGATCTGAAAAGCTGAGGGACAGTGCCCAGACCCAGAGTTCAAGCCCCAGAACAGGCAAACAAAAAAAGAGAGATTGCAATGTAATTTGGTCATATCTGCAGGCTCCATGCCTGGTCTTAATGGCGTTTACAATGGTGAATATTTCCCAGAATCTGTTTACTTTTCCATATCTATCAGAAGAATAACTGATAGGTAGAGGCTTAGGAAATATATTGAGGTAGTGCATATTGAAAGTTGAAGTTCCTCTTTGACCTCAGGCTGCAGAGTCGGTACTGTGTTAGTAGACATAAAACAACACTCATCTCATTGCATGTCTCTGTCAGAGCTCTTGGGTGACCAGGTGTACTGCCAATGAACAGTCCTTTTTTGAAAGAAATCTTATTTTCTAAGCACTGATTTTTGAACAGTGGACTTAAAAATATTCAGTGAGTCTAGATATACTCTAGACAATCCAGGATTTGTTGTTGTATTTATAGAGGACAGGCAGAATAGGCTTACTATAATACTTGTGCCCAGGGACTTTTGAAATGGTAAATGAGCATTTTCTTCAAGTTTAGGTCAGTAGCATTGGTCACTAACAAAACAAGCTGGATACGTTGTAGTACATTTTTAATCCCAGCTATGTGGGAAACATAGATAGGAGGATCAGAGTCTGTGGCTGGTCCTGGGCAAAAATGCAAAGCACTGTTAAAAACAAAGCAAAAAGGGTAGGGACATTGGCTCAAATGGTATAATGCCTGCCTAGCAAGTTTGAGGCCTTGAGTTCAAATCCTGGCACCTCAAAAAAATAAGTAAAAAGAACCACTGAAGCCAGGAACTGGTCGTTTATGCCTGTAATCCTAGCCATACAAGAGGCTGAGATCTAAGGATTACAGTTCAAAGCTAGCCCAGGCAGGCAAGTATGTGAGATTCTTACTTCCATTTAACCATCAGAAACCTGGAAGTGGGGGGCTGGGAAAGTGGCTCAGTGGTAGAGTGCTTGCCTTGCATGCCTGAGGCTCTGGGTTCGATTCCTCAGCACCACATAAGCAAAAAGAAAAAAGCCAGAAGTGGCGCTGTGGCTCAAGTGGTAGAGTGCTAGCCTTGAGCTGAAGAGCTG